ATGCAGAGATTTCTGGCCTGTTCCCAGTCAGCTCCCAGTTTGGATGTGGGAAACAGACTCCCCTCTCTGCCTTACGATGAGGATTAGAAACTCTTTAAGCCTGAATCATCCCTTATTCATGCTGTCTGGGTCCCTGAAAACCTCCACGAGCTTATATGCCACTGTTGCATATCATTAACGCTTTGTCTCAGTTAGCGTCTGTCCCTCGCTGTCCTCGCCGGCCCTTCCTGCAGGTATCTCTGGCTTCAGAGCTGCTTGTTTACCATCTGCTTTCACTGGCTCCACCAGCCAGCCCAGTGTTTACTGTCATACTATTATTGTCTGTTGTCTCTCCACGCTCATCATTTCCCTTTTTCCCCTCGGTGCCTCAGCTGATTGCAGCAGATGGCTGCCTCTCCCTGAGCCCTGCCAGAGGTTTTATTCCTCCCAGCACCGTCATCAAACGCAACCCAAACATTTGAGCTTCTGTCTGTGATACAGCGCTAACCACCATTTCAACTTGTAGCTACTTTAAACGCATTAAAATGAACTGCGTGCCAATCAGATTCTTTAAAAGAGAAATCAAAGGAATATTACTTTTATATCTGGTGAACGTTTCACATATGCTGAACAGTGAAACTGAGCATAAAATACTAATTTTTAAGTAAAACACTTCTCTTACTGAAGGTGCACCATGACCGCTGAGGAACAAGGACACTCCCAATGACTTACTGTTGGCCGTAAACACAGCCTTCATTACTCTGCTCGCCATAAATTAAATTGTGCACCACTTATCTCCCCCTATCATCTCTATCTCGTCCTCCTTGTTTTGCGTCCTTCTGCTCGCCTCTTATACAGATGTGTTTATGTGTTTCTACCACAGAAAGACGCCGCTCTGTCAGGCTGCAGAATAGAAGACGTTTGCATGTTAAGTCTTAAACTAAGGCCGTGTCACATTGTCTTTAAAGCCCTCTTGCTGTTTATATTCACCGCGGCGTCTGCAGTGATTAAGTGAACAGCGGTTTAGTTGTCAAACCAAAATAAGCTGAAAGAACCTGCAGGATCGGACCTTTAGCTGGTGTCACTGAGCCTGAACGCAGCCCATTTAAAAACTAAGAGGCGGGGGTCTGCTCTAATTTCCCTCCTCTGGAGAGGCCCCTTACAGCCACCCAGGGAAATAAAAACGTGAGTCTGCACCTCAGGGGAACATCTCAGCACAAAGACACAAAGTCAGTCCAGACAAAGTTTCTGGAGACGACCGTGCACGCAGGTGAGCACAGATACCTGCAGCACACAGAAGAAGTGCACATGAGATGTGATGCGTCTCTCACTTACCTCTGTGTTTAAAAAGGTGCCCAACAAATAAACTTACCTGTCTGTGCATCCTGTCAGCACCACAGTGGGGAAAATGCCTTTGGCTGATATGTGGATAAAAACATGCAACACAGACGTCTTATGTAATCTGACCAACATCTAAACTGTGTTTTCACTGCAGCTCTTCTATTATTTGTCTCTAGTATTTCTACCTTTGTCTGGATTACAGTTACTCCTTGAATCCTCAGCACTCTCATTTCGTATCGCCACCATGCTGTCGTGGAGCCTCGCTGTGAATGTTTGCAGGTTTAAACACTAGTTACACTTTGACACACTGTAACGAGAAGGCCCACAGTCGCTGTTTAATTCATCCCAGAGCTGTTCTGTCAGGTTGAAGCCAGGACTCAACAGGCCAGTCATGTTCCTCAACCTAACATGTTCATCCTCGTCTTTATGGACCTTTCTTTGTGCACTGGTGTGCAGTCATGTTGGAACAGGAAGTTCCCAAACGGTTCCCACAAATTCGGGAGCATGAAGTTGTCTAAAACATCTTGGGATGTCGAAGCATTAAGAATTTCCTCCTCCACCAAACTTCACACTCGGCACAGAGGAGTTCTTCTTCCACTTCAGTTACTGTTGTTCCCAATTGCCACCACTTTGTTATAACAGTTGAATGTGGAATATTTAGCAACAAGGAAATTTAACGAGTGCACTGCACAGGTGGTGCACTGCACAGGTGGTGTCCTATCACAGCGCCGCGCTGAAATTCACCGAGCTCCTGCAGGCGAGCTGTTCGTGCACAGTTGTCTGCAGCAGGTGCCTGATGTTACACACCTGCAGCCACAGCAGTGACTGAAACACCTGAGCTGAATGATTTGGGTGGGTGCGTGCTTCTGATGATATAACGTGTACATCATGGAAAAACTGCATTTGTATTGTTTTTATTTAGTATTTTATGTGTGAAAAAAAGTCCCAACATGTAATTTGATGCCAGCACTGACATGTTTATAACCCTGAGCTGACTGACTGTAGAGGTCGTGTGACATGTTTCACACTCCACCACATCATCATCCTCGGTGCATCGTGCCGTGCTGCTGGCTCACCTGGCTCTTCCATATGGGCTATGATCCAGTTGAAGGCCATCTCAGGGCCCATGTTCCCCGTGTAGTACACCGCCTTCCTGCAGGCCTCCAGCGGAAAGCCCATCTCCGCCAGCTGCATTACTGCAGCCTCGTCTATTTCTGGAGCTGAGGACACAACAAACCAGCATCAATAACTAAAACATGCAGTTGCTGATTCAACAGTAGCAGCGGCTTGAAACAAACAGATTTGTGGAGACTCCCTCTGTGGGACTCATTAAACAAAGAGAGCAGAGGAGCATCGGGCCTGCAGAGGTATCTTTGTTGAGGGATGATTTATCAAGGAGAGAAATGAGTCTGGCTACAGCAAGCAAAGCTGCACAGCACAGCCGAGTTTGTCACAAAGTCGAGAGCAGCACCTGCTCAGGTAGGTCAGAGGTTTAGCTCGCTAGCATTCATCACCACTGCCTCGAGCTCAAAATACATTTTCTAAGGTTATAACTTATAGAAATGTTGCATGTTCAATGTGGCACACAGCTGTGCAGAGAAATTCAATACTTACAGTCCAAGGAGCTCATGGAGTTATCTGAAAGAGGAGGAGACACAGTCAAGCATCACCATCGCTGGTTATTTACTGTTGATTCTGTTTTGGAGTCATTTCACTCTTTGAGAATAATAAAAGATTTGCAGACATTTGTACAGATAGCATCTATAATCGGCCAAGACTATATCCTGGAAAATCTGAGCTGCCGGCAGGTTATTAACGTTCACAAACAAAGGTACAGTTCATCACACAAATCCACTGTAACACAGGGAATCCAGATGTTTTCGAGTACCCGTGGCGGGTCCTGGGCACAGTTGGGAATTCTGTCTATTTTCTTTTTACCTTTCTCATAAAAGGATCATTTAGTTGCAGAACATCAAGGGGAGAAGCAAATGTTCCCCCCCCCCCACCCCTCATGAATCACAGAAACACTACCCTGTGTTATTTTGGACATGAAATGTTGTCAGTGTCCTACAAACACGTTTTATTTCACACAGATATGAAAACATCGGCCTGAGAGCAGCGCAGGGTTTTGTTCATTTTCCTTTGTTTCCCCTCATTGCCTCAGTTACTCGGACTGCTGCTGGGTTTTACCCAGTTTATATTAACTGAAAGGAAATACTGACCCAGTGGATTCAGCTGGAGTAGACATCTTCCTTGGTTTGCTTTAATAGGTTTAAATGGATCATGTGAGTAACAAAAACAGGGAAGGAAAAAAGCTGAACCAGAGCCAGTTTCAATACATCGTGTGCAGTTTGTAATTGTTAATTTTTTAACCAAAAGAAAAGTGGAAGCAAAAGAAATTCACTTTCCATTTTCTAAATGGCCTGGAATAATTGAGTAGAAACAGACCAATGAGAAATAATGTGCTTCAAGCAGCGCACAGGGAAACACATTTGTGTGCTGCTATGAAATCAATAAGAATCACTGAAGCCTTTTGGAGATAGAAGTGCGACCAACAATGAATCACTGCGAATTTCAGCAGGGGAGGAACGAGCCAGCGGTTAATTTACAACCAAAAAACTCATCATAAGAATGTGAAATAAACAAATCTGAAAGCATTGAATGCAGCGTGTTGTCTCCTCTGACCTCATGTCACAGCTTTAGCTGCACGATTTGCAGAGGCAACGCTGTTTTTAACCTCCTGACATAGAAGCTCAGAGCGACGTGCAGGTTTGCTGCAAATAAAAACATGCATGTGTCTGTCAAAGACATCTGTACAGGACGCCGAGCCGTAACAAAGCAAACCACAACAATGATGCTCTGATGTGCAGAAACTCCACTCAGGTTGTTTGACACCAACGGTACAGCACACCACGTTCAGTCCTAAAATATTTAGGCACACTAAGACAAGCGAGTGCAAAGTTTTTATATTGTGTATTCATGTGCTGCAGCAGACGAAACCAAAGAAAGATCCAAGTTATGGACGTGTGAAGCACAGCACAGGCTGCTCTCAGATGTTACCGAGCCCACCCTGTAATGTGCTCACAGCCTGAAACTTTATAGGACTCTCTGTACTTCACATCTGCTGAAATATTAACAGAGACAGCGATAACTTGATGTAGCTGAACAACAGGAGGAGGAAGCTGCGATCACAGAGCAGAGAGAGACAAAAGGCAAACAAAAAGGAGGGCACTGCCTTTGTGGGGCTGATTTTTTATTTTCACTAAGGGCTAACGTGGCCTGGATTTAACGGCTGAAATATTACCAAGCCTGCAAAAAAGTTTCTTGAAAAGTGAGAATATTTGTGCTATAACTCGCTAGCTTCCAGTACTTTAATCCCAGAGCTGAGGGAAGTGCGTTACAAGGAGATCTCGTGAAATCATTAGAAGCTATTAGGCTTAGCCACAGTGCGAACACAAACACTCTTCAGTAATTGATTGAGCATGCCTTTCCTGTGGATTCCATTTACTGTGTCCTTAGGAGGGAAGATGGGCGGCTTTCAGCAGAATATTATATTACAGACAATTTCACAGACCATTTAATTCACAAAAATACCCGAGACTGCCAGAAAGGATGTGGGGCACTGCAGCTGGTTCAAGCAGCAACGTGTTAGATTATAGGGTAAACAAAGTTTCATACACGGAGGTGTTTCTAGCACATAAATGGAGTGAAGAAATATTCTTGGCTTCTTTGGTTAAACAGTACAACAAAAGGCTTCACGCTCTG